GAGAAGTAGTAATAGTAGTAGCAGCGGGTGGAGGCTGGCACCCCACTCCTCCGTGCCAATTTTAATTTAATACTACAACACTCGGAGTCGTGCTTTGCTTCTCCAAGAGTGATTTTCACTTTCTTCAGTTCCACCTTCATCTTGAATCTGGGCAGCGGGTGGTCTGTTCCACGGCTGCCCCTGCCATTGTTCTGGCGGATGGCGTTGAGCTCTCCATCGTGCCTTTCCACGGACACCATCTATTCGATTCCTGTTGTTGAAAGGCAGTACTGCCAACAAACAGGTCGTTGGCTGTTGGGTCCTGCAGCATCCTCTCGTGTGACCTCCTGTCTCCAAGGCTTATCTTCCAGCGATGGATCCTTCTTTGCCTCCCACTTTCACCGTCCAGTCATTCCCAACACATCCTGATCCCATGTTTGACCAATTTCAGGTGGAAAATGTTGGTAGAATTCTTCAGTTCCTTCATCCTTGGCACTTCACGATTGGTATATCTGTGGCAGTTAGATTTTATACCAACTTGCCCTGGGAAGGGGTGGAGTCAGTCTGGTGATGCCTCCTGGGAATGTAGCCTTTGTGTAAGAGACACCGGGGATTCCCCCCTTTCTCCCTGCCCCTTTGTCTTCCTGCCTCCTGGGCCTCGGTGCCTGCCTCCAGGAGTGGCCCCATGTGGGCCACCCAACCCCGAGAGCTTTGGGTGCCCCCCCTGTGCCTACCAACTGTGGATCCACATGACTCTGCACCCACCAGCCTGTGATCTCCCTGCTTCCCGCCTCCCCTTTCTGCCTCATCGGCCTGCAGCCATGGGAGTCTGATGGGGGCTCCGGCTAGCAGCAGACTCTTGGACATGACTTGACTGGGCTTGGAAGCCTTCTTGATATAAAGGGACTTACTGAGATGAAGTTCGTTCTTGCACTGGATGATTTTGTTTCTAACGCTGTGTAAGTTTTAGGACAGTCACATTAACTGGTCTTCCTTGCAGGTGGGTGGATTTTACCCTGACATTGGCAGCATTGTACTTCAGGACACATCTTGATATGTTCTTTTTGACAACGAATGTAATGCCCTTCATCCTCAATTCGTGTTCAGTAGAAACACATATTATCCTTTGTGACCTGGGATCCCTGCCAACCATTTGTTTGTCTGCTTGCTTGGCCCAATTATTTTCAATCACCTCATCTGCATGCAAAAGTTGGGTAATGGGTAAGGAGCACTGAAGAAGAATGGATGCATTTGAATTATGATGTTGGGTGTGGTAGTTACACAACCTGTTGTCAACCTGAGACTATTAAGAGTGAAGGGGTGGAGTTTAGCCTGTCAATCCAGTCGAGGCTTGATGACCTCATTTGGAGGCACTAAGGAAGGAGATCAATAGCTCACTGGAGGCAGGACACACGCTCTCCCTATGAGACATTCCTGTTGACAAGCCACATGGAGCTACACTGATGAGGCCAGAGTCCTGGAGCTGGAGGACCCATGTGGAGACCCACACCAGTAAGATGCTTTCACCTCCACTGGATCCACAAGACTTTCCGCCCACTGGCCTGTCATCTTCTTGCATTCGGCATCATTGCATGTGTTTTGTTGAGTCTGAAGAGGAATTTATACCTTGGTATTGGACATATGGGCTAAGATCAGACTTATGGACTTGATCTGGACTGGGCTGGGATGGTTTCTTAATATACAATTATTCTTTTATAGAAAGCTCCTTCTTACATACAAACGAGTGTCTCTGGATTTGTTTCTCTAGTCAACCCAGACCAACACTTTGGAAGAATGTACTATGGACTGTCAGAAGCAGCAGCAGCAAATCTGTCTTGGAAGAAGTATGGCCATGATGCTCCACAGTGAGGCTCTTGTCTCACTCTTTGGACACGTTGTCAA